TGCTGACTGGGTCTAACACAACTTTGTGACATAATCTCTACTGAGCTCTCACTGCAGCAAGGCAATCCTTTTACATATCTCTAATAGATTCACTCTCCCACTCACAACATCTGCTATTCTAAACCTTTTAATTCCTTATAAAATTCCCACCTGCTCCTCTCAGCTATGGACCTTGCCTCGTACTTAACAAAAAAGCAGGTCATTTGCTAAGAGATCCTTCTTCTTTTTTTCTATTACATCACTAAGACATCTTTCCCCATTATTCCCTTCTTCATCTCATCTTCTCCACCAAATTTCTCCCACTATCATTCTCACTCTATTATGAATTATCAGTCTTTCCCTATCTCCTAGTTGCTTCTTTCTGCTTATAAATATTCCCATGTTACCCCATCCTTCAAAATCCCTCACTTGATCCAACCATGTCTGTTATTTATCCTCCTATATCTTTCTTCTCCTTCATGGCTAAACTCCTTAAGAATGCCATTATACACTGCATGTCTTACTTTCCTTTCCTCTTCCTTTTTTATAAATGCTTTGCAATCTAACTTCCTGACTCATCATTCAACAGCAACTGCTCTTTTTTCAAACTGCTTTCTTTTAATGACGTTTTCTCAATCTTCATCTTTCTTGACAACTGTGAAGCTTTTGACACTGCTAATAACCATCTTCTCCTGAGTACTCTCTCTTCTCTAGGTTTCATGACACTTTTATATCTTGGCTCTTCTCCTACCTGTCTGACTATCCCTTCTTAGTATCTTTCGTTGGATCTTCATATAACATGTCACTCCTAATTTTGGGTATCTCCCAAGTGTCTGTCCTGGGTCCTTTTCTTTCTCCACATTCTATCTTTTGGTTATCTCATCATGGGTTAAATTTTCAGCTCTATGCAGATTCCCAGATAATTATATCCAGTCTTAATCTTTTTCCTGGCTTCCATTCTCTCATAAACTGCCTCTCAGACATCTTGAACCAGATGTCTCATAGACATCTCAAACTAGATAATTATCTTTCCCCTCAAATCCTCCTCTCTCCCAAACTTCATTCCAATCTCCCAGGCTCATGACCTAGGTTTCATCCTCGTTCACAACCACCTTGTTGCCAAGTATTGTCATTTCTACCTTCACGATATCTCTCATGTTTCCTCTTCTCTCTACTCACATAGCTATCATGCTTGTGCAGGCCCTCAACAGTTCACACCTAGATTTTTAAATAGCCTTCTGGTTGGTCTTCCTTCAAATCTCACTTTATCCCAATCCATCTTCAACTCAGGTACCAAATGATTCTTTTAATGTACTAGTCTAACCATCTCTCTCTCTCTCTCTCTCTCTCTCCCTCTCTCTCTCTCTCTCTCTCTCTTTCTCTCTCTCTCTCTCTCTCACACACAGACACACACACACACACACACACACACACACACACACACACACACACACCACTCAATAAACTCTAGTACCTCTAAGGCTAAATATAAAATCTTCTGTTTGACTTTTAAGGCCCTTCACAATCTGGCCCTTCCTACCTTTCCATTTTTCTCATACTTTCTTCCCTTCCACGTACTCTAATGATCCAGTGTCACTGGCATAATTGCTTTTTCTTGCATATAACACTCCATCTCTAGGCTCCATGTCTTTTCACTGGTTGTCTCCCATGCCTAGAATAAAGTCCTTCCTCACCTCTACTTGGCTTCTTCAAAACTCAGCTAAAATCCCCCAATCTTCAGGAGGCCTTTCCCAATTCACTGATTTCATGGTCTGCTTCTCTCCCTTTCTGGTCACGTATCTGTCTGATGACATCCTTCTATTATGTAGTGCTTCACTGGTAACATGTTTTAGCTTACCTGTGCCCACTACGTAAATGGTTGTAAATCACCGAATACCACAATTACCAAAGAATCAAAGGCACAGATGATCCATAGAGGCATAAAAGTGGCTTTTATTTTTATGAATTTGATTCAGTTACCTATTTATTTGATAAATGAAGCCTCCATCAGAGAAATTTGTTGTAATTTTTGTTATTTTACTTCATTGTCTGTGGCACCTTTTAGCAAAATGTGGTTTCCCTGATTTTTTTTTTAATTAGGTCTGTTTTTGCTTTTGCTTTGTCTGAGATCATGATTGCTACTCCTGCCTTTTTTACTTTAGCTGAGGCATAATAGATTCTGTTCCAATCCTTTGTTTTGATGCTGTGTATGTCTTTGTGTTTTAAATGTGTCTCTTATAAACAACATATTGTTGGATTCTGGTTTCTAATCCAGTCTGCTATCTGCTTCCATTTTGTGGGTGAGTTCATCCCATTCACATTCACAATTATGATTACTAACTCTGTATTTCCCTCCATCCTATTTTCTCCTGTTTATCTTTCTCTTTCTTTTTATCCTGTCCCTTCCTCAAAAGTCTATGGTGAAGTTTTATCATTTGCCCATTTTTCCACCCTATTTCTTGACTTGGCCTCTACTTAGCTGGGGATGGGGAGACACTGTTTCAAGCTTGAGGATTTTTCATGCTGTTGTTTTCAGTGAGGATCTGCAAGGTTTCGGTGCTTCCAAGGTGGTGTTATCCCGGGAGAGGTGTGGCCACTGCTCTCCTGGTCTGTGTTCTGGTCTTTGCCCAGGAAAGCCCCCCAACCCCACCCTGCTCACCTGCAGCCACAAGTGCTAGCACTCTTCTCTGCCTTGCGACTCTGGCCAGGTTCCCTGCTCCCTTTTGACTGACCACAAATGACCCTTTCCCTGCTGGAACCATGATTCAGAATTGCTTTTGAGCAATAGAGATAGTTGATCAGTGCCAGCTGTACCTGGTGCTGGCAAAGGGTCCCCTGTGATCTTTTTCTGACCAGTTGTCTGACCCCCTTGCCTTCTCTGGGCTGAGAGCTCCAGAAGCTGCAGTTGTGGTGACCTCCAAGGCCCACCTTTTGGGCTCCTGCCATGCTGCAGACCTTTGCCCACCCCTGTGTTAGAGACCTCTCCTGCCGAGCTTCTAAGATGTCTCAGGCTGGGAAAACATCTCACCCTGACCTTTTGTTGGCTATGCTGTTCCAAAAAAAAATTGATTTAGTAGTCTCTTGAGGAACTATGAAAATGAATTAAGGCAAAAAGCCCTCTAGGAGTCTATTGTCAGTAGGAGGGATGAGACAGGCACACAACATATATCTTCTTTGGTCTATGAAGAGTAAAAAACTGTATTAAAGGCACAAAGTGCCATAGCTTTGTGCTAAATTAAAAGGGTATGCAAAGGCTAAATGCAAAGACACACAAGTCCTGCTTTCAAGGACTCGCAATTACACTGGAAACTTGACTGTCATCAGAAGCCTAAAGTAATGCCTAGAAAATAGTTTAGACATTGTATGTCAGTAGGTCCAGGATCACAACGGGAGTATTCTCTCCACCTGGTGAAATCATGACCTCATCTGTACCTTCTCATCCATGTGACTCTCACCTGTCTTTTTGTAAAACTTCTAAAGAATCCCTATCACTCTCCCCCATCTGATCTACTCCCAAACAAGGAGAAGCCTTGAATATCCAGAGCATATACTTTATTCCACTTCACATACTTCTGACTCCTCACTTTGAATGCCTCAGGTTTAACCTTATTCTAAGCATCATCTTCAGCCAGATTCCTCTCCATACAGCAAGTGTGCTTCATGTAAACCGAGGAGAATTCTCAGGTAGGGGCTGCATAGAGTCATAGAGGTCATCCACCTTACCCTTTTCTACAGGGTGTTTGTAATGGTAGCAACTCCACATTGCTTGAATGAAAAACTCACCACTTGAATACACTTGTCCTCCTGAACACTTATCCAACAAAGGTCGACAAACTTGTTGTTGTCGTTGTTGTTGTCTGTCTAGTATTTACTACATATTCTCAACAAGAAATACAGAGAATGTGTACTTGGCTAAGTCCCAATAGCAAGAATCTCAATAACAAAAATTTTAAAAATTGTGAAAGAGTCCAATATCAGCTACTTTTGAGAGATCATTTGTGTGTGCGTATGTTTGCACATGTCCATATGCGTATGGTTTCTAAGATTTAGAAGGGGCACATTAAATATTTTTTTATAAAAAATTAAGAATGCCCAGTGGTTTCTAGCTAGCACTTGCAAATTTAAGGGAGGCAAAGTATCTCACCTTTGAGAAAAATCTAAGTCTTAAGAGTTGATTCTTCTTCCTTTAAAAAAAAGGGAATGATTTATTATAAGGTTAACTTTAAACTACTACCAAACATAACCAACTAATAGTAACTAATAGTTACTTTGTGACTATTTTCATTTGAACAAATGAATTTCAACATATAAAATATCCATAGCAGCTTGTCAGTCTCTCCCTCTGAGTCTGGTTCACTTTTTGTTGTTTCATCCCTACATATGTTTCCCTTTATGTAGCTTATACTCTGTTCTTCTGGTCCCATTTTCTTCTCTTGGTATTATTTTATGCTACTAGGCCAATACCCCAAAGAGATCAAAGAAAGAAAGAAGATATGTACAAAAATATTTATAGAAACTCTTGCTGTAGTAGCACTAAACTGGAACTTCAAGGAATGGTTAAACCAAATGATGCCATATAAATGAATATTACTGCAACATAAGAAATGATGAAATAGACAATTTCAGAGAAACCTGGGAAGACCGGTATGAACTGATACAGAGTGAAGTGGGCAGAACCAAGAGAACAATTTAAGGAATAACAACATTACAAAGGTTTGAGAGCTCCAACCACTGCAATGGCCAACTATGATTCCCAAGGATTTATGATGAAATATGCCACCCACCTCTTGATAGAAAGGTGATGGACTCAAGATGCAGAATGAGATGTGCATTTTTGGAAACAACCAATGTGGGAATTTGTTTTGGTTGATTGTGCACATTTGTGACAAGGGTTTTCCTTCTCCCTCCCCCCGACTATCTAACCCCAGCTGGGGAGAGGGAAGGTGAGGAGGGATAGGGGTAGGATAAAAATGAAGAGAAAGAAGAGGGTCATTGGGGTATCTTTTTTTTTTTTAATACAGAGAAGAAAATAGAAAGTATGCCATAAAGAAGCACAGAGAAGCAGGACATCCTTGAAAGGTATAGTTTGAATTTCTTACACTTAAAAAAAAAAGCAAGCTATCCATTTAGAGGAAGCTGCAGTATCCTACGCAATCTTCTTTTTCTGTCCTACTATGTGTAGGGAAATGCCCATTTTATTTGGTCTTTGTAAAGTTAACAATAAAAATAATTTTAAAATATTTCATGTTTGATTTCCCCAGGTTTCTTCATACTCCTAGAATTTCAGGATTTGGAATTGAAAAAGAATTTTAGAGATCATATAGCTGTAGAATTATGAGATTATAGATTTAGAGCTAGTAGAGGTCATTTTGTTCAAGTCCCTCATTTTACTGTGGATAGAACATTGGGCCTGGAATCAAGAAGACCTGGGTTCAAATCTAGTCTTAGGTACTTACCAGCTATGTGATCCTGGGCAAGTCACTTAACCACTATCTCAGTTTCCTCAACTGTAAAATGGGGATAATAATAGCACCTACCTCCCAGAGTTCTTATGAGGATCAACTGAGCTAATAATTGTGAAGTGCTTAGCACAGGGCCTGCCGCATAGTAGGCACTTAATAAATGTTTGTCCCCTCTCTCCTTTTCCTTTATGCCTGAGAAAACTGAGGCGCAGACACTAAATGACTTGCACAATGCCATACAGGCAGTCGGGGGGAGCTAGGATTCAAGCACCGCTGCTGCCTGAAGGTCCAGTGCTCTTTATGTTGCACCCGGCGGCCTCTGGCTGCAGCCTCAAGCTTATCATTCTTCACCAATTACAGTATGTGGCTCTATCACCATTTATTCAGCCATTGTGGGGGTGGCGTTTGCATTTTTAATGGCACATTCACCACTGGGACAATCGTTCTGCTAGCCTGTGCTGACAGAGAATTTGATTCAACGGCAGTCTCTGGGAATCAGACGGAGGTATTTAGAGGACATCTAACACAAGGCATTGTGAGTCCTGAGAGCACTTTGCCAGTGTCAGCCAGTGCCTGCTTTGCAAAAAGTATTTTGTGTGTCACAAGAACATCAAAGCTCTGCTATCTCCCCATTGTGGGCTGCCGGGGATACAGTGCTGGATCTGGAGTCAGGGAGGCCTGAGTTTGAATCCAGCCTCAGACATTTACTAGTTATGTGACCTTGAGCAAGTTAATTCACCTCTGTCTGCCTTGGTTTCCTCAAAGGTAAAATGGGGACAATAATAGCACCCACCTCCCAGCACTGTGGTGGGTATTGAATGACATAATCTTTGTAAATCACTTAATGTATCACGCACATAGTCGGTGCTGTATAAATGCTGTTACTATTGTTAGTGTTATTATTATTATTAAAGCCCATGTACTTTAGATTCCTAGCCTGGCCAGGAGATCCACAGGAAGGAAACTTATAGATCACCTAGTCTGACCCATTCATTGTACAAAGGAGGAAACTGAGGCACTAAAGGGTGGAAGGTCACCAGTAATAAATTAACAGAGTCCCTTTAAGTCCCTTGACTTAAAATTTAGCTTTCTTTCCACTATACTGAAGTATCTATGTTCCAGTTTTTTTCATGGTAGTATCTGAGTGGCCTGTCTTAGTCCTTGTGTATTTAACATCAATGACTATGAGGGTCAGAAGGGACCTTAAAAATTGTTAAATACCAACCTTATTTTCCAGAGAGAGATAGGGAGGGTGACTTGGCCAAAGTCATAAGGCTAGTAAGTATAGGAGGTGACTAGTCTGCAGGCATTTGACTAATTAAGCCTGTATTTTATCATGAGAAGGGGTTGTTTCTTATTAATGTGTCATAATGTGTTGTGTGCTTGTTTTGATTTAGGTGACCACATAAGTGGAAAACTTGGACTCAAAATAAAGTCTTCTGACCCGTCATCCAGAGCCCTTGACATGATACACACACACACACACACACACACACACACACACACACACACACACACACACACATTATACACACACACACACACACACACACACACACATACCTGTTTTTAAGACAAAAAAAATTGGAGTGGGAAAGGGAAAAAAAGTTCAAATGTAGAATGGTACATAAAAATTTAAGACCTACATTTTGAATGGGAATTGCCATACCAAATATTTATAATTTCTTAATTATATAGAATAGAAAGCTTTCAAAATAGACCTAGGAAAAGACATTCAGCTATTATTTACATGGGGATGAATTATGTGGAGATATGACATGGTATACATGTCCCTGTGATTACATCAGCACCTGGGGTTGTCCTGATGATGAGTCTATAGGACATGAGTCCATATCCCAATTATTTTATTCAATTACAAAAAACAGTCTTTTTTTTTTTTACCTTACTGTGAAATAGTCTTCAGAACATTAAATATGAAAGGGTAATAATGATTCATCCTTAAATTGTTTCTATCTGAACCCCATCAAAATGATGAAAAGAATAAGATAAAAACAGCAACAAAAACAAAATAATTAAAATGATAATTCAGAGGTTCCCAAACTTAGTTGGCTTATCACCGCCTTTTAAAAAAAAATTACTTACCCCCTCCCAAATTTACTTTCTTTAACCCTTTAAGATTTTTTTTTTTTTGGAAATTTGAGTCATTGAAGGCTACTACTGCCCCCCTGGATGGTTCCAACATCCCTGGGGGTGACATCACCCACTTTGGGAGCCTATGATTGTAGATTAAAGTGACTAACCAGTGGATGGCGTTTATAGAATGATGAAGCTAGGAATGGAATCAAAGGGCCCTCTCAGGGCAACGTCTGCATGGACTCAGCCAAAGATGTGCTACCAAAGAATCACAGACCAAACATCTGTATCGCATAGATTTGTTTGTAGAAAAGGAGGGGTGTGTGATGGCAATTCAGGACCAGGTCATTGCCACAGAAAATGTCAGAAGGGTTAGCCTTCTGATCATAGGAGACAGTGCGAAGAAAAAGGAGAGACAGCAACACATCACTGCAGGCTATAAAAATTTAGCATCCTTCAGATACCTAGCAACACATGACCAAATGGCTGGAGTCACATCAGAAGCTTGCTGTCTTTTATGAACTAACAGATGAAAAATCTCCATATTACCAATCCATATGTCAAAATATCCTGGAGAACTCAACCCATAAGCTTTACTGGAAGCAGACCATTATCACAGACCAACTTGTTGTCTAAAATCACCCAGACATAAAATTTATTCACAAACATCCTTAAGAAAAATGTTTTTTTATATGTGCTCCGATCCTCAATACTTGTAATCTCCCAAGTATAGATATTTGACTGAGGAGGTAAAAGTCATGTGAGGACAAGATAAGGCACATGCTGTGCCTCTGGTCTTGGCTCCTTCTGTACGTGGCTTAAGGTGTTCTCAATGAGCCTACCGAGAGTGAATTTACATCATAGTCCTTTTTATTCAGCTATGAAAAAGAAGTTATTTTATTGACCTGTGCAACAGTCCATAGACCAACAAATGTAAAGATGGCAAGATAGTGACTTGTGCAAGGACCATTTCTATCTAAACTTCATCAAAAAAGATGAAAATGAAATGATAATGATGATAATCATAATTGACTTTAATATAGTGCTCTAAAGTTTGAAAGCACATTTTATATATGTATATATATTATCTCATCTATATCTATATATCTCATATATGTGTGTGTGTGTATGTATATGTTTATATATATGTAAAATCTCATTTGAGAAGAAGTGCAGTGCAATGGATAGAGAACCAGCCTAGGGATTAGGAAGACCCAGGTTCAAGTCCTGATTCTGCCATGTGTTGTCTATGTGACCCTAGATAAGTAATTTAACCTCGATGCTCCAGTCATCTCTTTAAATGTCTAAGTTGAAAAGGAGGTACAAACCTGTACTGTTAGGGGGAGTTTCCTCATAAAGAATTCTCTTTGCTAATGAAATCATAGATCTCTCCTGCCCACAACCCGCGAAAAACAAGACATTGGAGATCCACAAGTCTTAGCTGGTCTCCAAGAGTTGCCATGCAATACGTATATGAATTGGGAATATATGACTTGACCTTATATGTCCTCAGACTCTTTTTTTAAGGTATAGTACTTTATTCCAATAAATACTGATTTACAAAGGAGGGAGTTTTTATGAAACAGGAAAGATTGGTTTTGGAATGAAAGAATCTGGGTGTAAGCCAAAGTCTGCTAACAACCATTCTGCAACATCCTCCCTCTACCATCCTCCTATCAGAGGATTGACAAGATTGCACCAGCATTTTCAGAGGTCTACTTCTTCTCTAACTCTATGCTCCTATTAATTTATAACTTCTCTACTCAATGCAATACAATTCGAATTAAATAAAATAAAAAAGGAAAGAGGAAAAAAAACCAGGAAAACTAATCCATACTCTGAAAAAGTCTGAAAATATATTTAATATTCTACACCAGTGGACCCCTCACCTCTGCAAAAGAGCAGGATAAAGTGTCTTTGGATAACACTTTTGGGTCATTCATGCTTTTTATAATTTTGCAATATTCACTTTTAATTCTTTTTGTGGTTGTTTCATTGATGGTAAACTGAGTTTTTAATAATTTGGTATTTTGAGGTAGAGGACAGTTGTCTTTTCAGAGAATCCCATCCTAAACTTTATTTCTCATGAATGAAAAATACTCTTGCATAATTTAGATGGTTTTTCTTTGGCATGTGGAAGCATCTTCCTAGCAGTTTATAAGAATTATTGCTTAATATTAAAGTTTAAAACTTAGCTGCAGTGTTTCCCTATCATTCACATTTGCAGTTTCTCTCTGTGTGTTATATATGGTCTCTATTGATCTGTACTTGATCAGCTGGTATTTGGAGTACACATATTTCTATGTGATTATCTTGCAGTCTTTTTTTTAACATTGAATTCTTTTTAAAAAAAAACCAAACTTATTTAGTGTTTTATTTATCCCCAGTTACATGTAAAAGCAATATTTGACATTTGTTTTTAAAACTTTGTATTCTAAATTCTCTCCCTTATTCCCTCCCCACCACATCTCATTAAGAAGGCAAACAATTTGATATAGGTTATACATGTGTGGTCATGCAAAA